ACGAGTATTATAATAAGTTCATCTCATAGCCAATATAAAACGCCTATCATACGAATGAGTACGATTCTGCCGTTCAGTTAATGAGGCTATTCGTTCGTTCTCGTGCTACGGTGCAGGTTAACTACTAGAAATACACATAATTTCAATCTTAGCTCATGCAACAATAGTACGCAAGCGATGTTTATTGCTGATATATGCGTGTATTCGCGTGCTGCAGTAAGGAAATATCATCATATAAGTTGGTACGATTGTTAGTAAATGTATTTAGCAAGCATGCACTTATTATAGAATCGACCCGATTGAGATGTTGGGCAGTCAAAAATGTCACAGTCACTAGATAAGTATTTTGACTAATTGTAAATGTTTATACTTTATAATCATGTCGGTAATGACTTAGTTGCGTAAAAAAAAATTACTCAAGCGGCGTCAATTTAAAATATACTGTAGCAAGTATGCTACATGATACGCTTGCTTCAGCACGTTTGATAGCGATCTATTTGATTTAGGCCGTTGGCTGTGTGGCCAAAATGTGGCTAGAAATCAAATTCCGTCGCCCCCATCGCGGTGCTAAAATATTTTAACAGGAATTAGCAGAATAAACTACGCTGATTTTAAATATCATTGTTTCCACGCGCCAAAACCCGCTGTTTTTTCACAATTTAAGGCTAAAGTTTGATATTTTTATCCGCTGAGCGCCATCTTGAATTCCGCGGTATTTTTGATCTTTCGGCATAATTACTTGAAATATTCTATGAAACGCGGGATCATAAACAACTCAAATTCATATATATATATATATGGCTAGCAAAACTGTCTTTGCTTCGGAATTTTTATACATTTTGAAGGTAAATCTGGTGAATTGTGTCACTTAACATCTCACACAAGTTAATACAGCTGCAAAAATCTAAAAATATTGTGAAAGGTATGGGTTAATTTGAATGAGAAGCAGACTCAAATCGCGACCATCGCGACAAATTGTTGCACAACGTATGAAACATTTAAACATTGGTCAAATACTTTACATTAATATTGTACATTATTAAATACTTTATACCTAAATTTGCTATAAGTATACAGCTGGTACATTAGCGGTCATAGTTAATTGTTTAGAAGTTGATATTCGACAAAAAATACTTAAATTAATAACAAAATGAACTAAAAAGTATTTACTCGAAGATATCAATAAAATGAAATATAATAAATACTATTCGATTAAATAAATTTTGCATTTCTACAATATCAATCAATATCAATTTCAATCAGCGGTGTTGCATCAGCCCTGACTCTTCCACAGTCCCTCATTCGTACGCGCGGTCGCGTAATTTGAGCAGCGCTGATTTGAGGGACTGTGAAATCGTGACTCGAAAACTTGCAAAAACACTCGAAAACTTGCAAATGTGCTCGAAAACCTAAAAAATCGTCGAATAAGAAAGAAATCGTGGATGTTTTGGACGGTAGCGGTCCTTTGCTGTACATGGGAAGTGTTTTGTCTGAATCGTGCGAGGAATTGGAGATATTAATGGAATATTTATCTCTTGAAGACGATGATGGTGAGTGTTGACATTTTATAGCAATATGCCTTTGACTCTTTGACTGTAAAAATATAATATAGGCGAGATTTTGATTAGGTTTTCGTGTTTTATACTGTTTCATGAAAGTGATTGTACCTTTACAAGTTCGTAAAAGCTGGGTAAATGCTCTATAATACGGATTATTTTTATTTAATTCTGCAGAATAATTTCCACGTGCTATTTTATATAAATAATATAAAGTCAACAAGAAGTCCAACCTCGTACAAGAAGTCCTGCTCAGGGGAAACATGAACTGAATCGCCCTCGTCTAACCGTTTTGCCAAAAACGAATATATTTTATGTTGGTCTTAAGAGTTATTAAGCTACTCTTTGTTTTTGCCAAATCTGTAAGACTTTTCACTTTTGTTTAAAATAGCAATACAGTATGTGAAGTATGCATGCTGAATAATAATTTTTTTAATGAAAATTATTTAGCCAATGGGGATCTCAGGTTCTAGCTCCTTGGTTAGTCGTCGGCATTTGAGGTTTAGGAGTTCTGAACAGGCCTCCATGTTATGGATTTATTTTAACCTCTGTGTTTTACCTAGACCCCCTCAGGTTCAGCATTACCACTTCATCACCAGTAAATAGGGTGGCAACGCCCGGAAAGGCCAAGGAAAAAGTTTAACAAAATTTTTTTCTGGGCCTGCATGGCGAGATCTGAGACCATATTGGTATTTTACAAATTTTGTAGTAAGAATAATCCAATATGAAACTATCAAATCAAAATATATGTAATTTGCGGGGGTGTATATATATGTAATTTGCCAAATGCCTTTGGGGGTGCATATAATTTCTGGGAGGGTGTGCACCCCCCACCCCCACCCCAGAAAATCTGTGCCTGCTCTGAGTTAACAATGAAAGCATTTTTTTTACAGATCTCTGCAATATTATGTTTACAAGTTCCTTGAAGATATTATTATAATTAATGGTGACATATGTCTGTACATTGTAGAGCATTTTGTACATATTTTGTACTTACTGAGGCCAAATAAAAATAATAGTTGGTTTCAGGTTTCACAGCCATGTTTTATATGGGTAGGTAGGTCGAAAAAGCATTTTATTTAAAAAAATATTTTATCTCAACTGTCACACATAATCAGACGTGCCACATGGGATCAACCGCGAGCTACACATGTTTTGCGAGAAACAAATGCATCAAGGATTAACATGACTAGATAATGATTAAATTATGAGCAAACAAAATACTTTGTAGCAAATGAGTCTGATGACTATTTATATATTCTGATATTTACGAAAAGATGATCCCTACTGGGAAATGTCATTAAAATGTTTATGGTCGGTCATATTTTTGACAGGTCGGTCAGAAACCTGAAACCAACTATTATTTTTATTTGGCCTGAGTACATTTTTTATTTTATTCAGACAATAGATAAATTTGTATCATAATTAAATTTGTATCAAAATCTGTAATTTAATAAATATTCATTCCATCTTGTTTCATTTCTTGTTTTCTTTAGTAGCCTGCAATTAAGAAAAAATCTTCTTAGAAAATCTGACATTTTTGAAAACTTGTTACATGTATATACACAAGGCTGTCGGAAGTGAATCAATATTGGGATGGGGTCTCAAGAATAAATTTGAATTGCTTTTGCACTTTTCTAGTTCTTTTGTGTGTGTTTGCTCATACAAATGGAATATGAGGGGGGCTTATGCTGCCCCCCCCCCACCACTTCTGAGTTCTGACAACCTTGATACATAGTCTAATTGGTACCTGGCTAGGCCCCACCCACCTATGTTGTTTCCCAATGAAATTATTAATAAGAACAGTATACTAAAAGAGGTTCAAACATGGGGGATGTTTCTGCGAAAGCTGGATGTGCCTGATAAGAGGGATCCCTATGTATTGCAAGCCTTTTTTAAGGTACTATCACTGTTTGAATCACTCAAACCTGATGCTGATTGCTAAGTAAGTGCACAAGGGTTTGTTTTGAAAAATGCATTAATAAAACCAAGTCAGTATGGTGTTAAGCCTCAAAAACTGAAAACAATAGACTTGGCATAGACCCTCGACCCTTCCTGCAAGGGGTGTGCAAACAATAAAATTGCCTATAGATAAATTTGCAAGGGATGCAATTATGCAAACACAATGGTGAAAACAATTAACAATATATTCAAGGTGGCATCCTTAACCTTGCTACTTGCACATGGTGCAAAGGCTATAAAATGATTGATTCATAGAAATTAATGTAACAATATTTTACCTGAGATTCGACAGGGATTATTTTGATCAGCGTATGTCTTTAGTTTGACAGAGTGCAAAAGTAACATTCCGTATATTTTGGCAACTTCTTTCGGATCTTGGCCAAATATGGAAATAACGTTCCTTCTCCAGAAACGTCGAACCAAGAACTACTTGCCAATGTCTACACTCTACAACAGTCAAAATAAGATCGATATTCTTAAATATACACATATATTAATAAATTGCGACAATTGATACATTTTTGAGCGTAAATATGTAAAATGTAAATGAACATACCTTCGTACCCTTCTTCAATAAACAGGAAATATACTTTAACGTTTCCTCGCCATACATAACGGCCTTGAAAAATCCTCCCTATTTGTTTGCATTATCTCGGCCATTTATAAATACAATGGACGCCATCTTGGATGCGGGATTTCCGAGTCGCTTCAGATTCTATCGCATTCCCATTAAGCACCGCGCTCCCATTGTTTTTCCACTGATCTCTATTCCCAACTGAAGCGACGAGGGACGAGGCAGGATATGGAATTTGTTTCGAATATTAAAGAACTATTTATGAAACAAAATAAGAAGGTATGAATATTCTGATCTTTTAAACAAATTATAATGCATGAGTAAGTATAATACCATTTCTAACTTTATATTTAACAACACTACACCTGTCCTATTGCCCGTGGAACAACTGCAATATTCCACGGAGAAGTTGGATTTCCATGGAATAACAACACATTTGTACGGAGAAGGTGCAAGTTTCTACGGAGAAGGGTTGGCCCGTATGGGCCACCGTAAATTAAACATAGGTATTAAATTTTACGTGTAGTCGCCAGCGAGCAAAGTTACTTGGTCAGTCACAGCCCAAAACTTTATGTTATATTGACAAGAGGTCCATTAATCATAAATAGATAGACCTTTTCACTAATGATAATACCATCTTGACACCGCAATGCATTGTGCTTAATCAATCTTTCAATCGCTTTATGTGCATCCAAAAACTGTTATCATATTTCGAATCACTTCAAAATTGATTTAAATCTCTAGTGTTTTGTTTTTCAACACATTTCTCGCTATTTGGAAACTGCAGTGTTCAAGTGATGAGGGCGATATAAGACGATGATATTAATACACAACAGAATTTCACAACATTTTGATTGTAAAAGAAGACTATGTTCATTAAATCAGACACTAAAATACCATATACATAGTGTAGAAAAATACATATTTACTAATACTTCAGGGTTCACTAAATTATACCATTACTTTATTTAAGGAGTGTCTCAGCATAATTAGAGACTAAATGTTATTACAAAGCCAATGAATAGGCGAAAAAACGGGTCAAAACTATCGAAAACCAACCTTGTAGCAACTTGATAAAACGACATTGTTACAACTTGTTGACAAGCTTGCTACAAACCCGTTGCGAACACATCTTGTTGACAAGATGCGATGTATTCGTACTGCTTGTTCCCAGTTGTTGACAAGCCTGGAACAATTTGTTATCATCTTGCAACGCCAAGGTTGATGAGGCCAACAGACTCGCAACAAGTTGTTCCAACAAGTCTGATATCGACAACAATTTCGTAGTAACTTGTTACGAACAGCATGTATTGGTAGTTTTGTTGGATCAACTTGTAGCAAGTCTGTTACCGCCATCAACCTTGTAACAGAGTGATAACAACTTGTTCCAGCTTGTCGCAATAGCTGGGAACAAGCAGTGCGAACACATCCTGATATGGGATTGACAAAAACCTTGTTGCAACTGGTTTGTGGAGGACAACGGCGGTAGTTCACAGGCTAAAAAGAGAGTTGGTATGATCCTAAAATTTGGCAAGGGTTTTTCTACATCTAAGTACTACCCTAAAGCAAAATTTAAGTTAGTATTTTTTATAATTACATTGCTGTCCTTCAACGATCAGAATTATTATGTCTTCACAACCTAATTTTATATTAATATAATAATTATATTCATATATTACTTCAAGTCGACTTTAATACATTCATTAGGTTTCAAACCGTATTGCAATACATCGTCCTTGACTGTAGCCCATGCCATTCTCTTTGTGTTGAACGCCTTCCCAAAGTTTCCGTCTTCATCTATTACTATAACGCCGCCATAGCCGTTTATACGTGTTTCCATCCTTTGAACTGCTTCTTCGGACGAAATCTGGGCGAAACGTAAAACAGAACATGTTACTGACACATTCGAACAGACTTGGCCTCGTAGCTTAGTTGGCAGAGCATTGGACTGGTATCCCAAAGGTCGCGGGTTCAATTCCCACCGTTGGTCAGGCTAACTTTTCAGCCTGCCCGGTGTGGATATACACTCAGAGTAACATCAAAAACATTATATTAATTCACCTGAGTATATAACATCAAAACACACAGGGACGTCGCTAACGGGGGTGTGGGGGTGTAACAGCCCCCCTAATAATTCAAACGTTGGTCAAAGTTGGTCAAAATGGAACTGGTATTTGCTCAAAGTTGGTCAAAATGGAACTGATATTTGCTTAAAATTTAAGGTCAAAGTCGGTAAATTGTGGTGAAGAATTGGCAAGCCTTGCTTATATAAAAATTTTTAAATATGCTTATATTAGTCCAGAAATTTTTTTACTGTTAAATGTTGGTCAAAAGATGACGACACCCCCCCCCCCCCCCCCGTTGATGCCTTAGCGACGTCCCTGAAAACACACACAAAAAAATATTACATAAAGTTTAGTTCAGCATTAGCAATCACCTGCGCATTATTTCCCTTCTCAATGTTATACACAGCTTCTCTAGCCAGAGTTATTTTCATTAAAGATTCTCCGTGACCAGTCGTGGAAGATCCACCGTATTCATTTGCATAACCTCCGCAGCCAATCATAGGGGAGTCACCGATACGTCCTTGCATCTTGGCGGGTATACCCCCTAGAAATATAGCAGTAAAATTTACTAAGTATGTACAAAGACCTATGGGAGAGGACCAGCCAGACCCCAGCAGACGAAGAGATACAGAAAAGAAGATAAGATAACATAAGAAACTTTATTTGTGTGTCAAAACATTCTAGCGTTTAGCAGATTAAAGCTACTGTTATGCAAAAAAAAAGTATACTTATACGTATACTAGCTATGAGTAGATAAATTTACAATACCAATCCCTAATTATTACATAGATAGCAGTTTCTACAACCGCCATCCTCTAAACAACAACACTCTTGAAAACGTTCAATGTACTGATGTTCCTAACTTTTTGTTTTTAACTTCTTTACTTAACTTTGACCATAAAAAAGGTCCTAAGTATCTAATTGAGTGTTTTCCATATTTTACCGTATTAAAACGCGGTATTCTGAAATCAGAATTTCTTAAATTATATGAGATGGAGATGGCTGGGACATACACTGTGCAAACCAACATCCAACACCACAGGACAGGCCCTCACATGGAATCCTCAAGGGAAAAGGGCCGACCAGAAACACCTGGCGCCGAGACCTAGAAGCTGGCACCAAGAAGATGGGTTACACCTGGGGACAACTTGCGAGAATGGCACAGGACAGAGACACATGGAAAACTCTTGTCGACGGCATATGCTCTAAATTTGGGTAGTGGGCTTGATGATGATGTACAGTACGTTTGGTATATGTGCGTGTAACAATTGCGAATTGTATTTTATATTTTTGTGTGCTGTAAGCAAGTCAATCTTAAGTTTATTGATTGCAGCGATCATCAGCCATGTATCCAATGTCATCAGACAACCCAAATGGAAACCTATGCTTACCTGTTGATGTAGCACATGCAATACAGCCAGAGGTATCCATAGCAACAGCGCCGACAGTGTCGTGGTATTCCTCTGTAGACCTCCCCTCCCTGTGTGAATGAACAGCATTATTATATTTACTAAATGCGTTCCCTTTCATCTTCGCCTGTTCCGTCACAAGCTCCATTGGATCTTTTAAAATGGGGTATCCAATTTTCTTTGCAAAGGCAAGGCAGCCTTCGATGTTGAGAGCACAATGAGGTGTCTCTTCCATCACACGTCTTGCTAGCGAGACAGGGTTTGAGAATTGACTAACTGCCAAAACCGCGCCTAAAATGGTTTTATTTAATATTTATTCAATTATTCAACTCCACTAGCAAGTAGTTTTAATATCATGTTTTAGTGCAACAGGCTCATTTTTAAATGTAATGCGATGTAAAATTGAAAGCTTTGCAGGGCTCAAAATAACGGCCGGTCACGGCCAGTATAATCTACAGACTGCAGACCAAGTACAAAATGCAGAATTAAGAATAGGTATAAATTGCAGACTGAAATTGCAGACTTGGTATAAAATGCAGACTGAAAAAAAAAA